ATTTACACATTTAATAGCACTCTCCTTAGTTTGTAAGGTGTAGGCAGGGATTACATTTAGATTTTATATGCACGTGTAAATGCTTTAAAACTTGCTTTCTTTATGAATCTTGTTTAATCTTAAAGTGCATTACTATATTTTTCAATACCAATTACTTGTTAAAGTTTGTACAATCAGTGGGATCAGTTGCAATGCATATATGTGAATGATAAAAGTAAATTGCACATTTGTCGAAGGAAATGTAAGGTGCTTCATGAAATGTTTTGTAAAAGATATGTTCATTTAATTTCAACATTTTCCTAATGTTCTTGTGCTTCTTTATACCAAAACAAAGGAAAGACATATTGTTTTGGTTATTTATAGCAAAGTATGGTATCATTTTAATGGTCCGGCCCACTTGACATCTACCCAGGCCGTATGTGGCCCACCATGTGAAATGAGTTTGACACCCCTGGTTTAGCGCTTGCTAAAAAAGCTTAAAATGAAGAGAAAATAAAGTATTCCACCTTATAAAACTGTATATTGTTGTATATACTGTAAATAGACATCCACTCTGTATAATAAAATTCATTCATAACCCATATATAGTAAACAGTGTGGGACTTCACTCCAGTGAAACTCCTCTAGAACGAAACCTGCATGGGCGAAAATACCCCCTTATGTGAAAAAATCTTCATGCATTAACACAATTCCCATTCTCCTGCCCCCCATACGACGAAAAACCCCCTGTTGCGTTATACGAAATCATTTTGTCTGCTCCAGCCTCGCGAAGACATTCACTACAACGAAGTCTTATCCAACAGCGACCTCTACTGCTTCGTTCGAAAAAAGGCAACAGCAACCACCACACTGGTTTACATAGTGAACGATGTTTATTTCGGTCACAGCTGCGAGTTTCCTGGACCCAACATACTCATAGCTGCTCTGCCATTGGCTTGCCGAGCATCATCTTGGCCTCCGATTGGCCAAGAGGGACCTCACTGTCTATGTGTGGAGATACTGAAGCTAGGTCCGTAGAAGATAGAGG